AGGGATGGGGGCTGGGCCCCAGACGTCCAAGTGCAGGGTCTGAAGGGGTGCAGTGGCAAGGCGAAGAGAGGAGGAGTAAGGAGCATGGCGCAGCTGGCCCTCGACGTAGGGCGTGCACGGCAATGCAGGCAAGGGAGGGAGGGCAGGAAGCGACGCAGAGAGGCCTAGGACGAGACAGTGCTGAGACATGTGACGCAGACGCGGGAGCGTAGAGTGAGTGATCGACACGAGCAAGCCGCAGCAAACCGGGTGGACAAAGGACCCGAGGAGGACGCGCCAACCAGGGGGGAAGCAGTGTCCAGCATAAAAAGGCCAGACACCGGGTCCCGGGGGAACGTCGCAAGGGGGGCACCTGCGGCGGTCTCGGTACAGTCAGCGAACCGCTCGTGACCAGGGAACGTAGTGGTGATGCCGAGGTCCTGAAGACAGTCGCCACCAACTAAGTTGCTGGAGAACGAAGGTATGTGCAGGCCTGTAAGGGAACCCGAGAGGACCGCCGGACAGGGAAGGGTAGTGTAGCTGCGAGCAACTACAGGACCAGAGGAGGGTTCAGCAAGTGCGACAGCGACGGGCTCGGCAAGCGGCGTGAGGGTGGCGTGGTCGCGGAAGAAGCAAGCTCATACACCAGAGTCCAGTGTGAAGGTTAGTGAAGCAGTAGTAGCAGACGAAGGAGGAGCGAGCATAGAGCCTAGGCTAGACAAAGCAAGCGGTCCTACGCCTGACGTAGCAAGGGAGTCTGGACTACACACAGGTGCTACGCCTAAGCTAGAGAACACAGGGTAATAAGATTCAGACACACTAGAAGCGCCAGCATACAGAGAATGCACGGCAGTACTAATATGATCCATATCTAAGTCAATAACACGCGCACCATGGCGCAGCAGACTGGGCCAGTCAGGGAGGTCCGGGGCCGGGCCGAAGCGGCAACGGAAGAGGTCGTCGAGGCGGCGGAAACAGCGGGTGGTCGGGTGCGGGCGGCGGCACACCGTGCCACAGAGGGGCCTGGTCTGGAGCTGGTACTGGCAGCTCACAGCACCAAAGCCGCCGGTAGACGCTGAGCTGCGAGGGCCACCACCGCGACCACCACCTCCTGGGGCTCCTCGCCACCCCGGCGGGTTGCGGGCCCACGGCTGCTGCTGCTGCTGCGGCTGCGACTGCTGCTACTTCGTCTGCGGCAACTGCTGCTGCTCCTGGATACTAGCTCCAACCCCCTCGTCAGAGCCACTGTCCCCGCCACCACCACCACTACCACCAGCGCCACCACCACGTCCTCCCTTGGGGCCACGGCGGCCCCGGCGCTGTCGATGGTGTGGGAAAGCCGCAGCTGCTGTCTCAGTGGCAGGGGCAGTCGTGGGAACTGCAGCGGAGATGTCAGCGTACGTGCACTGGGAGGAAGCACTGCCCTAAAAGTTAGGGACTGCCGCAACACCGCTCGACTGAGCGATAGTGCGCTAGCGAGTCTCTATCTCAGACAAAGCAGTGACAAAGGTGGTCAGGGTGAGGTCGCCAGGGTGCTGACTAAGGAAGTGGTCATGGGCAGTGGCTAAGTGGTTAGGCAGGCGCATGTCAATAAGGTACAAGGTACTGCAGAATGGTGGGGGGAAGGCAGTGAGCTGGGCGGTAGTGCTAGCAGCGCGGTAGCTAGTCTCTCGTGCTCTGAGGTGAGTAGCGAGGTCAGCGACAGTGGGGAAAGCGGAAAGATCAGGGAAGGGCATGGGGAGGATCAAGTGGCCAGTAGAGGCGGAAGCAGGTGTGGAGTAGCGCGCAACTACGACATCTAGGAAGTCCTCGGCGTTCGCGACGGCAGTGAAGCGCGGACGCTCAGAGAGGGGAAGCGCATGACTAATGGCGAGCTGCGCTACAACATCGCGAGAATCCCAGACAGCGCGAGCGACCATAGCTGCAGCAAATGCCTCACTCTCAGCAGTGGTGGGGTCAGCAGGAAGGGGATCAGGCGCAGAGGGGCGGGGAAGCAAACCATCAACATGCATAGCCAGGGAGTGCCCATCCTGGCGCTGACCTGTCAGGTGCCAGCGGAGATCGACAAGCCGGGCGGCGAAGTCGATCGCGTGCCCCTCCGCTTCCAGACGTAGCATGGTGTCCGACATCGCGCAATCACAACGGCACCGGGGCACAGTGGCACATGGACTCAGCTGCACGACGAGACAGCGATACAGCGGCAGGATTCTCCGGAACGGGAACCGGACGGAAGGCCGAGGAGGGCGCATGTGGAGCCTGCGGGTGCGCAAGGGGCCGAGGCGCACAAGGGGCCGGCCATGTGCGGAAGAGGCCGGCGCGTAGAGAGGGGCCGGCAAGGCGCTTGGGGCCGGCGGTGCGCAGGAGAGGGGCCGACTAGGTGGTAGGGGCTGGCTAGGCGCGAGGGGCTGGCGAGGCGCGAGGGGCCGGCTAAGTGAGAGGGGCCGGCCAAGTGAAAGGGGTCGGCTGGGCGCAAGGGGTCGTCTGGGCGCAAGGGGCCGGCTGGGCACGAGGGGCCGATTAGGCGTGGGGGGCCAGCGAAGGCGCGAGGAACCAGCGACGGCGCGAGGGGGGTCCTGCTGGGCGCGAGGGGCCGGCTGGGCGCGAGGGGCCTGCGATGGCGCATGGGGCCGGCTATGGCGCGAGGGGCCGGCTACGGTGGGACGGGCCGGTTACGACGGGAGGGGCCGGCTATAGCGCGAGGGGCCCGGGACGGCGCGAGGGGCTGGCGACGGCGCGAGGAGTTGGCTGGGCACGAGGGGCCGCCTAGGCGCGAGGGGCTAGCTAGGGTGCAAGCGGCTGGCTAGGGCGCGAGGGGCCAGCGGCGCGAGGGGCCGGCTACGGCGGGAGGGGCCAGCTAGGGCGCGTGGGGCCAGCTATGGCGCGAGGGGCCGGCTAGGGGCGACGGGCACGCTAGGGGCCGGCGGACGCGCTAGGTGCCGGCGAGGCGCGGTAGGCTAGGGCGCGGGGCGGAAGCGGGTGCGGGGGGGGGGGGGGGGTGGGGGGGGCTAACCTACTCATGATACCATGTTTGAATACGGTACTAGAATAGATGAGAAACAAGAGAGAACAAGGGAGATTTAGTATTGGGGTTCTACCCTTTAAGAACATATACCTATCTAGCCTATACCTTCTACATAACAATAAGGCCCAAAACATGAGACAAAGCCCATGGGACAAATCCTACGGAGGGGCGTCTATCCGGGTGATAACGGTACAAACTGTCCTAAAGTTAAGCTAGGACGTCATGGCTATGGCGGCGGGGTTTAGCTTGGAGGTAGACGAGAATGTCGAGAGAAAAGAAGGTCGACTAGAAGAGATGGAGACACAAGACGAGGGTTGTCTCCTCTACAGTAGAATGCAGTTTGTAGCACAACTACCAAGCCTACAATCATATAAAATATAATTTAACACACCCCCTAGGCTTGGTAGTCACAAACCCACCCAACACCCACACACCCCCTAATCCCGTACACCCTCATGCTCGTGAGCAGCCGGGTATCTAACCCTCGTGCTAGGCGATAACACCCCCGGACGAGAGGCAGCTGCCGGCGTCTGGGCGGCTTCAATGACGACAGTGGCGGAGCACGTGCTCAAGGCGGCTGCATCGAGGAAGGCACGCGGCGACTGCAGCGGCTGAGGGCTCTCGGCGGTGTGGCACGACCCGGCGACGACCGAGCAGAAGAAAGCAGCTGCAGCAGGAGGAGGAGGAGACACAGGGGAGGGAGAGGTGGTGGGGCTGCAGGACTTCAGCGCGGCGCCATTACTGGCGCGGCGCTTACTGACGAGCGGGCGGGCTGCACGTGCAGCGGCTGCGGAGGTGATACGCGGTGGCTGCAGCTCGACGACACCGCCACGGTACCAGTGCGACGCGGCAACAGCGTGGCGTCGGGGCCGCGGTTGCTCGTCGAAGCTGAGACGGCAGCACCAGGCCCCCAAATTGGTTTTGGGCTTGTCTGATTCATCAGACTTGCCTGCCATCTCTTGGTATGGCCTTCAGAGTCGCCCCCTAAAAAAAGTCTGAAAAATCAGAGTAACAATAATTTATTTGTCTGATTAATCAGAGTTACCATTGTTTTTAACTCTGATTTCAAAGTGAGTGTTTTGCACGTTACTTTTCCATTCCCTTCCCAACCGCTGCCCTCATACTTCTTGCTTGAGGGGCTTTCTCTCACGTGCGCTCCCTACCGTATCTGTGTTCTGGCGGCGGCGCGGAATTTCGCGGCGCCCTAGGCCCGGCCCCGCGCTGGTGCGGGTTTGGTTGATCAGCGAGGCTCATGGCAAGGCTGTGCTGTATTGTACAGCGCTCTTGCCAGGCCTGACAGAAGATTTTTTTACTTTGATAATCTCCCAGATAGGCTGACATACGATTTTAAAAAATTTAGGTGAGTCTTTCACGGGTTTCTATCCCCCCCCCTCCCCGTTCCGTGTCTAGTAATTTCGCGTGCCTGAGGTACGGCGACGATATCGGTTGGTGGAGAAACGGGATCGTGGCGAATTGCGAATGGGGGACGAAATCGAGGGATGGGGGCGGAAAAGAATTGGGGGGCGGGCAAATCAAAATTGCAGGGGAGGTAGGGAAATCGGGGCCATCCGGGTGGCTATTTCGTGAAGGGCCAATGGGTGCCCTCGTACACACAGCCCGCTGCAGTGGCAAGCACACCTCTGCAAATTTTTCCAAGGGCCAATCGGCCCCTCACACCGCACGCATCACAAACTGGGAGGTGATTTTGGTGAAGGGCCAGTCAGCTCCCTCACACAGCCCCCAGTACACATCGGCCAGCGATTTTGGTGAAGGGCCAGTCAACTCCCTCACACAGCCCCCAATACGCATAGGCCGTTGATTTGGGTGAAGGGCCAATAACTGCCCTCACAAAGCCCCCCACAAGCATCTCGCCCTGATTTTGGCTAAGGGCCAATCAGCACCCCCCCACAGGTAAATCACGCCCCCCCCCCAAAACCTGGCATTACACAAATCAGAGTCGACCCCCCATACAGAGTTGAGGCATCAGAGTACACTAGTAAAAAAAGTCTGAAAAATCAGCGTAGGTACATAAATCTTCTCTGAAAAATCAGAGTAAGGTACAAAAAAAAGTCTTCCCAATCAGAGTACACCCCCAAAAAAACTCTGAAAAAAGTCTGAATCAGAGTAAAAAGTCTGCAATTTGGGGGCCTGGTCGCAACCTCCGGTTGCGACCCTTCGAGTCCTTTCGTATTCTTTGTCCATCCCCTTCATGTAACCTCCGTTGACTCGCGTACTCATTACGATCTTCCTCGAGTGTGGTGCTACACTTCAGAAACGCTGAAGTCCTTGAGATATTTCCAACACTGAAAATCAGGAATTCAGATATCTGAGGCCCTGAGTCAGATCACTCCCAGACCCAGACCACCACCCACCCACCACCCAGACCACCCCAACACCCGTAAACAAACAAGAGGACCTACTACCGTAGAAGCACCAGTACTACCAGCACCAGAACCAGCACACATTGATGAACACACTGACCTGACCACATGCAGCGGCCTGGTACCTATAAAGCCCGCGCCCCACAAAGCAACTATTGCATCGCTCAACGCTGTAACACAGAGCTAACAGATTGCACATTTCACACGCACAGCCATCCCCCACCCCCCCCAACCCCCCCCCTGCACCAGGCACGTCAGCACAGCAGCCCCCCCCTCCAGCCGTGTGAGCAGTGTCTCTCAAAGCGCCCGTTAAGCATGCGACTCTTCAGGTGTCTTCTTCAAGCGTCTCCCCTTGTGGCCCCTTGCCCCCCCTTTCCCGCTCTTGCCGATTCTTGCCCCCCCTTGCCCCCCCTTGCCCCCCCTCGCCCCCTCTCGCCCCACCTCGCCCCCCCTCGACCCCCCTCGCCTCCCCTTGCTTTACCGCCTCATGGCCTGGGGAGGGGGCTCCTGCCCTCGCGCCCTGAAGATACGCACATTGGACGCAAAGCCTGGTGGGGGGTTGGGTGGGTGGGGTTTAAACGGGAGGGAGGGGAGAGGACAGCAAGGGAGAGAGTGCAGGGACAGTGTCTAGGTGTAGGGAGGTGCCTTTCGAGTTGACTCAAAGTCGCCTCATGGCCTGAGGAGGTAGCCCCTGCCTTCGCGCACCTAAACCTCAAGATGAGCACATTGGATGCAAAGCCTGGTGGGTGGGTAGGGAGGGAGGAGAGCAAGGGGGAGAGTGCAGGGGCAGTGGAGAGGCATAGGGAGGAGTGAGGAGGGAGGTGTGGGGAGGTGTGAGGAGTGTATGGAGTGTAGGAGTGAGGAGTGCGGAGGCGTGGGAGGTGTGAGGAGGTGTGGGGATGTGTGGAGGGGTGTGGGGACTTAGATCATCCAAGAGGGATGAGGAGGAAGCGTGAGGTGAGGCCACGCTGGGTGTGTGGTTGGCGGTGGGGGAGGGGGGAGAAGGGGATAGGCAAGGGGAGGGGAGGCAAGGGCGAGGTGTGTGGCTTTGGGTTATCGTTCCTGACACTGCTCTCAGTGGATGGAAAGCCGGGTGCATGGCAAGAGACAGGGGGCTTCCAACGAAGACGAAAGAGAGAGCGAGGAGAGAGAAGACGAGACAGGATAGGCCAGGGACATGACAAGACAGGGACCAAAGCGTAATGCACCACCACCTTTCCCCACAACAACTCTTCCCTCCAACACCCTCCCTCCCTTCCCCTCTCCCTCACCATCCCCCCTTCCCTGCCCGGCTCCTCTCTGTCCTTCCCAGGGTGTGCGCCTGCACGCACGCACCGAGCTTGGGGTCCCAGCCGCGGTTCTTGAGCTCGCGGTTCTCCTGGCACAGCGCGCACGGCAGGCAGCACAGGTGCGTCAGGCAGTCGCCGCAGGGCGACTCGGGCAGATCATACTTGTGCCGCAGCCGCGTGCGGTACCCTGGATGGGCGGGGGCGCCAGGGGGGGGGGGGGGGGAGAGGGGGGGGAGAGGAAGGGAGGAGAGTGAGACAGTGGGCACAGGGGGAATCCAGCAGATCGTTCTTGGTACTTGTCTGTTGTCCCCCACGTGTGTGCAGTAGCCTGGATGGGTGTTGGGACAGGGAGAGGAAATGGGTAGGAGGGAAAAGGGAGGGGAAAACGCAGGAAGGCGGTTGGAGGGGGGGGTTTGGGGCAAGCGGAGAGAGAACGAAAATGACATGTATGGGGCATTGAATGGAAAGTGGCAACGACGACGGGTGGATTGAGCAACAAAGGACGAGAGGGCAGCGAGGGCAGAAGGGGCAGAGAGCGGAGTGAGGCACAGAGCAGTGAGGAGAGAGGAAAAGGGAGAGAGCAGAGAATTGCAGAGCAGGGAGCAGAGAGTGGAGAGCCGGGAGCGGGGAGCAGAGGGCGGGGGGCGGAGGGCGGAGAGGGTGGTACCACAGGAGTAGGCAAAGCCACACATGCCCATTGTGAGAGAGTCGATGAGGAAGAAGAGACAGCACGCTGTCGATGACTCTGAGAGAGGGGGGGAGGGGGGATTGAGGGCGGAGTCAGGGAGGGGAAAGAGAGTGGGGGGATAGGGAATGGGAGAGTGAGTTGGGAGTTAGGGAGGGGAAGGCAGGGAGGGGACAGGGAGGGGGAGAGAGAGGGGGGAGGGGAAGGGAAGCGAGAGTGAAGGGGGTGGCGGGAGGATAGTGGGGAAGGAAGTGGGGGGAAATGACGAGGAAGAGAGGCAGGGAGAAGGTTTGAAGATGGAGGTGCAAGCAAGGGAAGCAGTGGAGGAGGAGTGGGAGAGGAGTGGGAGAGGAGTGGGAGAGGAGTAAAAAAAGTCTGAAAAATCAGCGTAGGTACATAAATCTTCTCTGAAAAATCAGAGTAAGGTACAAAAAAAAGTCTTCCCAATCAGAGTACACCCCCAAAAAAACTCTGAAAAAAGTCTGAATCAGAGTAAAAAGTCTGCAATTTGGGGGCCTGGGCAGCACCGATAGGCCGCCGCGCCATCTCGTAAAAGATGCCACGGCGGCCGGCAGGCAGAAAGCCGCAACGGCGGCGAAGGAGGGACGGTTACGCAGCGGAAGCGTAGTGAGCAGGCCCGGGACGGGCGGCGTTCTCTGGTACCATGTTTAAAAGTGAAGGTAGGACTCCATGGCTATGACGGCGGGGTTTAGCTAGGAGGTAGGCGTGAATGTCGAGAGAAGAGGGTCGACTAGAAGAGATGGAGACACAAGACGAGGGCTATCCCCTCTACAGTAGGATGCAGTTTGTAGCACAACTACCAAGCCTACAATTATATAAAACATAATTTAACACAAACACACCGCTGAAAGACCAATAATACACAACAAATGGTACAATGTATGGCTGTAGCACCTAGACCAAGATCAATGTACAACTAGAGGGGCAAAACGCCAGTAAAATTTTATTGTGTGGTGCCTATGCTCACTTTCAGGCGCTTATTTACACCATCTGATGACGCAAGTGTACATGGCATCTTTGCATCTTGCCGTATTACATCAAGCGCATGGCATGCCGAAGAATGTCATGGCATGTGACAATTCCCACGACTGTCATGCCAGGCTTATTGTCTTCGCGGGGTGCAACAACAGGCAGACGAGCAACCTGCGAAATTATGACACAGAATACCGGACGTCAGCGATCGAATAATTGCTACGCAACCATGGATGCTGAATGGAGGACGAACCACCTACATTGTGATTGAGCATCATTTCTGCAGCATCAGTAATCATGGCGTCCTCCTCAATGTACAGGGTATCTGATGTCATAGCATCTTCTACCTGCACCACATTCAGCACAGCAGCCATTCATCAGCATTTGGAAATTGCAAGCACTGATATCACAGTCGCCAGCAGCTTAACCATCCACTCACCGTTTTGGCTGTTATCTTCCTCATTTGAGCATAAAGAACGGGAGACATCGGACCTTCATTGATTCGGTGCATGTGGTCGTCCTCCTGCAATACAAGGAGCATCAGCAACTAACATCAGCACTGGCCAAAAAAAAAAGAGACGAATCCTTTTCGACACAACCAACACAGCGTATGCTTACCCCCGGATAAGGCACTGTTTCTTTCCACAGAATATCTCGTTGGGAGAGGACACCGACCAATTTACCAGCCCCATATGCGTCGCCTTCATATGCATCCACAACAGGAGCTCCGCTTATTCCAATCTTCGCAAGAATCTGCACTCACGAATCAAGACGAGCATTCAAATACTACATTCTCCCAAGCAACAAAACTTAAAATCGGGAGGATAATAATAAAGTCTTGCCTTAGCAGCTGTCTTCAGCGGAATGTCTGGACGGAGGCACACCACGTCACGGCACATGAAGTCTCCAACAAGCATGTCTTCCCACCGGCGACCTTCTTCGTGTCTGAAACAAAACAAAGAGTGACGTTTAACTTAGATCCACGACGGTCAGAAACTGGAAACGTTCGAGGGCATCTTTCGGCTAGTACTGCGGTAGGATACGGACGTTACACCAGGAAAGGCCAGAACCTTCTGTCACGCTTCCCTTCACGCCCACCTCGTCTCATAGTCCAGCTCAAGATTCTGTTGCCACATGGTCGAGTTTTGAAGGTAAATGCTGGTGCTTTCCTGCCATGCCTCGTCAGCTTTAGTGAGTTGTTGCTCCCGTTTCGTCATTGCTGTTGCAGACAGTGCACTGTGGTTATCAGCACTGGCTCTCGGGGAAAAGGATGCTTTTCTGGGCGAGGCCTGCAAACAAAAGATTCACAGACACAATCAGACACGTCATCCCCGCACTAAACAAACTGCAGCACAGATATAGCGAATGGTCACTCAACTGACCGCACACCTTAGGAGAGTTCGAGCCGTAGATTCGAAGTGAGTCGACGCAACAGTGAGACGACGACAGCGAGGATTGCTTGTGTCTTGTGGGCGAGAGCTGTGAGGACTCCACACACTCGCTCAAGCCCAGATTCATGCAACATCCAACAGCAACCCCCATCGGCATGCTTCGGCACAAGAACTTAACACGACTTCACAGGAGGAAAAATTATCGAACGTAAACTAAACCGTCACGCCGCAGAATCAGAGAACGAGAGACTCTAGATGAACAGCATCTGATTGGGAGAACTGAATTGCGCTGCGTGAGCTCCGTAACGTGACCAGCTTACATGTGGCAGGCTGCAAAAGCTCATAATTCGTAAGAGTTTGGACATACAGATGTGAACCCGAGAGCAAAAAAATCCATCCATATTATCGTCCACGCGACGAACTAGGCAAGAAGAATCTGTCAGACGACACGCTCGAGGATGGCGCCCGACAGTTGGGCACCCGAAGTGGTTGCTGAATCGCTGGCAGGGAATCATGATGACACATGCAAGGGCAGCCATGGCAGACAACTGCAGAGCGCAACCAACGGCTGCAAGGGAGTTTTTTCTGCTGCAGGACAGGATGCCCCCTGTTCGACTTGTGTTGGCGCGCATATGTTGCTCACTTCGCACGTGGTACAGAAACCGGCAATTTTTTTTCCTCGCGAAAACCCGAATGCCTGGAAACAAATATGGTGCTGTACCATCCCAACCACAATATTTCCAATATTTCTGTACAATTTCCTAACCATTTTATGTGAAGGGTGTTCAGTATAGCCGTAGTTTGATTACACGGCGAAATTCTTCTTCTCGCTGGCTTGCACCGTTGGGGGAATTGGCAAGCAGTTGGCTCGATTGGCTCGGTTTCGCCGCCAAGCCAATCGTTCGATGGAAGAATTGAACCTAGATTTTCATACTTTCCAGGGCAACACCAGAGAATCCGCTGCCGCCAGCCTGTTCCACGTCATTCCATTTATGCCTGACCAATGACGCGCATAATTGGACCAGTGCCAGATGGTGGTACAAGTACTTGAAACTGACACGTGATACATGGCACATATTAATTGGTTTGGGAACGGGTAATCGTCATCCTCACCTTATTCACCACGCAAGTGTGACGAGGAGTGGGCTTTGCCAAATACTTCCCACTTACAGGAACACTCGTTCTTGTTTCGTTGAAGCCATGTGTTACATGGAAAGCCTTTCCTAGGCTTGCTATCTAAGCCCATTCTTAGGAGGAACTTGGTTCCTCCTCATGGAATCACCATTCACTCCAAGCCCTCAGATTGGGTTTAGGGAGGCTGATCGCTCAGGGTCGCCCATGTGAGAACCCATGTTTTTCAGGGTCGGGTTTTGGGCGTGGCATGTTTTTTCAGGCCAATTGTTTGTTTTAGTCTGACTTATCAGGCCTACATTTTTGTAGTTTCTGATTCTTAGGTCGGATCGGACTTCACTGCGTACAATTCTTCTCTTCGGATTCCTGCATGATTCTAGCTAAGGACCAGTCAACCCCCTCACACCTGCTCCAGTTCGCCTCGAACTTGCGTGATTCTGGTCAAGGACCACCCACGCCCCTCCCACATGTTCTAGCTCGCCTCGAAGTTCCGTGATTCTGGTCAATGATCAATCACGTGTTAAATTATATATGTTATATAATTGTAGGCTTGGTAGGCGCACCTGAAACTTACTGTAGAGGGTATAACACCCCTCCTTGTATCCCTCTCTCTTCTATTCCTCCCTCTCTTTTCTCTCGTCAACTCTCCTAGCTCCTAAACCCTCACGCCATTCCATGGCCGCCTACCCTTCCTAGCTACCTAGCCTTTGTGATATGGTATCAGAGCAGGTCGCCCTTTCCGGGCCTGCTCCCCATGCTTCCGCCGTGTGCTCGTTTCAGTTCCGTAGTCGTTTTCGTGCCGCCATGGCGGCTTCGTGGTGCTGCCGTCGCAACTCCGAAGAGCCGCCGCGGCATCGAAGCCGCGCTGTGGCGGCGTCGTAATGATGCCGTGGCGTCGTCGTCGGGCTGCAGCCGGCCGCGCAACTCCTGTGGGGCCGCTAGACCTGACGCCCGCACGCCCGCCACGGGCGTGATGCTGGACCACGCCCCGTCCCCCCCCCGCCCCTTTTCCCAGCGTCCCCTCCTCCTCGTCACAGCCGATGCCTGACTCGTAAGGGGCTTCCCCATCGTCGCGGGGCTTGGCCATGCTGCCGAGAGGGCGGGGGCCTCTGCAGTTGCCGCTGTCGTCGAAGCCGCCGCCGCCACCTTTGTCGCAGCTGGCCTGTTGCCGCCGTACACCGCCGCCGCTGTCGTCACTGCTGCCGCTGCCGCCGTCGCCATCTCCCGGGCCGTGGGGTTGGCCATGCCAGAGTAGTCGTGGCTGCTGTTGGGAATTGGGAGTGCTAGGTTAGGGGGTGTGGGTGTGTGTGGGTTCTTCTACTACCAAGCCTAGGGGGTGTGTTAAATTATATATGTTATATAATTGTAGGCTTGGTAGGCATTACCGAAACTTACTGTAGAGGGTACAACACCCCTCCTTGTATCCCTCTCTCTTCTATTCCTCCCTCTCTTTGCACTTGTCAACTCTCCTAGCTCCTAAACCCTCACGCCATTCCATGGCCGCCTACCCTTCCTAACTACCTAGCCTTTGTGACATCGCACCCCTCACACCTGCTCCAGCTCGCCTCGAACTTGCGTGATTTTTTCTCAATGACCAATCACGCCCCCCACACCTTCTCCACCTCGCCTCAAACTTGCGTGATTTTGGTCAAGGACCAGTCACGCCCCTCACTCGTGCTCTTGCTTTCCTTGGCAAATAAGATTCAGTTTCAGGGTGAATTTCGAGTAAGGCTGATTCGTCAGGCTCGGTTAAACAAGAACATACTATTTTTCAGGCCTTAGAAAATGGAAACACACAAATTTCAGGTTTGACAAAAATCAAAACCTGAAAAATCAGGGTATGCCCTTGAAATCACCCTGATATACAGGCTTTCAGGCCTTTTTGGCATGACTTTTGAGGCCCCGATTCACTCACTTTTTTTTTTAAAATCCACCGAATGTGCAATATAATAGGTTGATAAACTTGTCAGAGTGAATGTAGCATAACGAGATGGGACAAGGGACAAGGTTTATATGGTCATACAGTACAAGAGAATATGAAGAATCTTAGTAACGATGCACTTCACATGATATGAGATCCGACTCAGATAACGTACACGAACTGGATAATTGTCGGTGCAGTAATGCTGAAGTCAGTTATGTGCCATTGCTGTTATGTCAGACTCTTAGACTTCTGACTGTGAGTTGCTGGTCAACGGTCAGCGACAGTAGCCCTTCGTAACTTGACACAGGTGCGTTCCCAATAGGGGTTATTGTTAAATTATATATTTGAGATATATATAATGGTAGGCTTTGAAGGTGTTACTGGATTCTACTGTACAGGGTACGACCCCCTCTTCTTGTATCCCTCTCTTCTATTCCAAACATCTTCTCTCTCGATAATTTTCTCCTTCCAAAACCTCTTGCCATTCCATGGCTTCTCCCCCTAGCTAGCTCATTCTAACATGGTTTCAGAGCAGGTTGCTCTTCCTGGGCCTGCTTATCACGCTTCCGCCGCGCACTCCTCCTTTCTCTCTCGCGCTGCCATGGCGGCCGTGTCGTGCTACTGTGGCTGCGTTGTCGTGCCGCCGGCCGCGTCGTGCTGCCGCGGCTGTTTCGACGCGCTGCCGTGGCGTCGCGCTGCCATGGCGGCGGCGTCGTGCTGCTGTGGTGGCGCCGTCGTGCCGCCGGCCGCATCGTGCTACCGTGGCCATCTCGATGCCCTGCCGTGGCGTCGTGCTGTCTTGGCGTCGACGTCAAGCCGTGGCAGCGCCGTCGACGTCAAGCCGTGGTGGCATGACGACGCCGTCGTGCTGCCGTGGCGACGTGCTGCCAGCGCGCGTACGGCACGGTCGGCAGCGGCCAACGCCCCGTCTTAGCGCTGGCCAGCACGCCCGCATGCAGCCATGACGTCACACGGGGCGGCACGCTCCCGGGCTCCGCTGCTGAAGCCCCCGCACCGGCCGTCCCACCGTCGCTGAGCACAGCCACGCCGCCGAGTGCTGCGAGCTCCGCCGCCGCCGGCAGCTGTTGTCGAAGCCGCCGCTGCCGCAGCTTGTGCCGCTGGCCACGCCGCCGCCGCCGCTGTCGACGCTGCCGCCGTCACCGCCGTTGCAGCCGCTGCCCTCGCTGTCGACGTCGCACTGCTTCACGCGCCGTGGGGGTTGACCGTGCTGGAGTAGTCGTCACTGCTGCTGAGCATGGGGGTGCTAGGGGTTGTGTGGATTAGTGTGCTGTGTGTGTGGTGGGCTTTCAGCTACCAAGCCTAGGGGTGTTTTAAATTATATATTGGTAGGTGTTTCTGGATTCTATTGTAGAGGGTACAACCCCCCTTCTTGTATCCCTCTCTTCTATTCCGAACACCTTCTCTCTCGATATTTTTCTCCTTCCAAAACCTCTCGCCATTCCATGGCTTCTCCCCCTAGCTAGCTCGTTCTAACAGTTATAACGCGAAGGATGGTGTTCTAGTGCGACGTGGTCAATTCAGGAATGTATAGAACATCTCCTAATCGAAACACTCCCCTTCATTCCTGAAGGTACTCTAGCTTGGCGCACTTGGTGATTTCGCAGAGCTCGGCGCAGTGCTGATACTGCTCTCGTGGCTGTTTCTGGGAAGGAAATCAGTTGCCATGTCACCACAGAGGAAGTAGGTTAAGTCCACCTTGCTCTTGTCGATTTCATCATTGGCAAAAAACTATCGCTGGGCAATGTGCGTTGTGCAGTTCATTAAGCCAAGCTTGTTGGCAATTTTGATCGCATTTTGATTGTCCAAGTGTAAACTTGAAGATCTGCGAAATGCTGAGATTTCCTTCCTGCAAGAGGCTATTGCAGATAGAACCCTTCGCGAACTATTGCGGTGGCGGCAATGACTTCTGCTTCAGTCGAGGAGAGTGCGACCAATTCTTGTTTCTGGCATTCCAAAAGATAGGTCAAGTAGGCTCTAGGCAAACAAAGAAGCCTGTGGGCGAGCGGCGATTATCCAGATCGGCGGCGTGACAGGCGTTGACGTAGTCGACGATCTGGAACGGGGGTTTAGTAATGGTGGAGTAGGTGAGCCCGATCTGGGATGTCGAAATGAAGTTTGAAGGTGCACATTATGGAGTAGCAAAGCCGCGTCCTTTATGAACGTAGGTGCCAATAACGTGGTCAGCACAGAAATGTTCCAGGGTAACTTGCTCATTGAAGTGCACGATGTTCAGGGACGTGAAGAAGTGAAGAAGTCGAGGATGTGAAGAAGTCGAGGATGTTCGAGGCCTTGTACTCTAGGGAGACTCGGATGTGGATTCTGGAGTGTGCGCCCCTCTGGCCCTGCGCCCCACCGGCCCTTTAGTGCCCCGCCGGCTCGTTAGTGCCCAGCCGGCCCGT